CATTCTTGCAGAAATGGTGATGGGGAGAATGGTATTGGAGACCAATATGAATGAAATTGTTACACAAATTGACGCACAAAATAAACTGAAGAAATCTGAAGCTGGCTTAGCAGGAGCTCCAGCCCGTGCTGTATCCACTGTAAAGAATATGAATCTTCCTGAGATCCCGAGAAATATTAACACTGGTGACATCAGTATAAAAGTGCCAAATCTGCCCTCTTTTAAATAATATTAAAAAGGCCACTCCCAGGTAAAACCCAGGGGGATAAGTCATCTAAGTTTACCATACAGTTGTTTACCAAAAATAGAGGAGTCTTAACTTTTTGCTCTTCAATTTAAGTCAAGGTACTGTATAGAAGTTGGGTAAAATCAGTATGAAAGTTAAATGTTGCTTTTCTTACTCAGTGATTTCAAAGAAATTGTGTACTTCCAGTGTGATTTTTTTGGTTGTTGTTTTCTAAACTTCATTCCTATGCCCACCTAAGGCATGCCTCTATGTATTGGCTATTACAGTATTTCAAAATGAGGTGTTTCTTTAATTTTGTACAACCCAAAATGTTGATGTTCTGTATGGATCACAAGTGCCACATTTCTTAATTCCTTCTGCTCCTTGTCACAACTGTTAAAGAACCAGGTATATACTGCATGAAAACATGATGACTTTTCCTCTTAGTTTAAATAAACTCCAAGGTAACTGGATTTCTAAAGCACCTTTCTGTTTGCCTGATATCTACCTTAGCAATAATTTTTTTTTTTGCAACACCCTGACTCAAAGTAAATAAAGGTACTTTTTTTAAATAAAGGTATATTTTTATCACTGTTGAAAAAAAAAAAAAAGTGGGACTGGGGAGACAGCTCAGCAGTCTAAGTACCTGCCTGACAAGCACAGAGACCTTGGTTCAACCCTCACTACCACATAGCATGCAGGCCCTCCAATGCCAGAGTTGAAACTGTGCAGCAAGACCCTATACTAAACAAATTAATTTTTTTTTTTTTTTTAAAGTGAGCTCAAGTCCAGTCTGAACTGCATAGGGAGACTCTTATCTCAAAAAACAAAACAAAAAAAGATAAACATAAGCCAACCTTAAGTACATGAAAAATTCTGAAAATTTACTAATGTAATAGAAGGAAGTTCTAGTACAAAAATTACAATGAGACTCCACAGTGCCTCCGCCACCCCGCCCGCAGAGTAGGATTTTCTGCCCAGTTCCGGGAGCCCCCAGACCCAGTCCTAGCCCAGGTCCCGTGAGTGTGCGGAGAGCTTCCTGCTACCCTGCGCCGGTGGGACCAGTCCCAGCCCAGGCGCAGAGTGGGCCGGACCCTCTCCCAAACCCTTGGACCGCCCCCCACCACTCCGCAGTGCCTCCCCCACCCC